TGGTGACCAAGGGGCTGGGCTGTCCTGCAGATGAAGCAGCTGCCTCACCCCTCTTTGCTGATAATCATTAAAATTCAATTTCAAAATTTCTGTCTTTAACAATTTCCCAAGGAGCCTATGAAAGATGCCAAAAGAGTAGGGCTTTTTTCACATGGCCCCGTCCTGGGAGCAGGCAGGCCCTGGTCAAAGTTGCTTCAGAGCCCGCTCCCAGGAGCAGTTCAGGGCATCGTGTCCGGGCTGGACTGCTGTGCCCACTTGGATGGAAGGAACAGTTCTGGGAAAGTGTAAAGGCAGGTTAAGAAGCTGGGGAAGGCAACTAGCATTTTTGTCATCCACATTGCCCCTGGAGCACAGCCAGTCTGGTCCTGGGGGTGGAGCTCAGAACCAAGTGGAAAGTTCTCACTCTTTAATCTTCCAACTCCTCACTGACTTTCTTCTGCCCGCTCAGCTCGCTGGCGTCTCAGCCTTGATTCCAAAAAGAAAAATATTTCTATATCAGCAAGTTCCCTTCTGTCAAAAAGCTTCCTTTAACAGCTCTTTCTCCTTTGGGTGGAGAAGTCAGCTTCTGGGTCAAGAGGAGGCTTTCTAAAGTGTTTTGAGAAACAGAACAATAGATGCGCACGGGCAAAGTGGGGTGGCTGAGCTTCTTCTGGAGCTTTGACTGAGAGTTGCCAAACAAACATTGTTCAGACCCAACCTCAGAGTAGTGTTTTTCGTTCCCTGCGATTAGTACCAAAGATGCCCCCCATTGGAATGGATGGAAAGAATACAGCATTTCTTTGAAATTCTAGGTGGGAGTGAAGTACCTGACTCCTATTGCCTTCACCTCTTAATCACGTATGACCATCTTCCTAAATACCAGCTTTCTTTCCTATGAAACCATTGGCTCCTCAGCATACCTGGTACTTTTTCTCCTCCCCTTAAATTTTTATCCCTTGCTCTTTTTTCCTCTGGGGCCTGGAGCCAAATTCTCAGAATTAAATCATGATCTCACAAATGCCATGACAAGTTAACAGGAGAATTCGGGGGCAGTGCTGAAAATACATGATATGGAGAATAAGTGTTACAACTGGATGCAGCTACAAAGTGGCAGTTTGGGGTATCAGCAATGAATTCCACATTTTCCTATAGGCTTCTATTTATTTAATTTTCAGGATCTACTGATCCTAATAGATACAAGTTAAAACTGAAGTAAATTAGAGAAACGTTAAAGAAAGACCAGATTAAGCCCTTTCCAGACTGGCAGCCAGGGTATCTTATACAGTCTGTGATTTTTTGGACAGATTCTTTCATACCACTGGAAACCTAGATAGGCTGATACCCAAAGCCCTGCTTCTTGGTCTTTAATTACAGACCTGGCAGAGTGGAGCTCTGTACCAATTCAAAGAAAATCAATCAGTGCTTACTAGCCATAACAAATCAATAAAAACAATTAGCTGGAGAAATAATATTAACCACATGCCCTTGTTACCATCAGACAGGAGTCCCTAACAACTTTGAAGCTTCCTATAACACGTATTATTTTATTGCTTTACTACCTGATTTTGTAGAATTTCTGCTCACGTGATATCTAAAGTTGTTTCCTGAAAGTGCAACGTGAATGAGTTTTACAATCATTCTATACCATGGTCTCAGAGTAACTGTATCCTCGAGGCTTTGAATATGTCTGTTGGTGTGGACTAACAATATTCTTTTCCGCTGTGAAGGGGCCACACTAGGCTGGACATGCCAAGTAGGATCTAGGTCCCAGTTTAGGCATGTAACTAACAGTTGGTATGCACGGCAGTTCGTGGTTTGGGGCTTCAGATTTCACATATAGAAAGTAAAAAGCTAGGACTAGGTCATCTCTTAGGACCCTCTTAGCCCCTAGATTCTGTAGTCCTGTAACACACTTGTGAACTTTCAACCTAAGAAAAGATCCAGGTCTATGAGTTACTGAATAAACTAGCTATTTCATCATCTTTTCAGTAAAAGTTTATACAGAAGATTGACAAATGATTTTTGTTTTTTTCCTAAAAGATCCTAAATTTGACTAGAGGAAATCAAGCTAAGAGACTTGGCATTGTTTTCTCGCATACAAATGAACCATTGTGTTACACTTAAACTTCTTTTCCTTTTCAGATCCAGCTTAGAAATAATGTTTCGCCCAAGATAAGGCTTGTGGTTTAGGAGATTCTGGTCTGGCTTGCCTCATTTTAAGACTTTCTATCAGCTCTTTTCAAAACCTGAGGAGGACCTCATTTCCTGTTGGAGAGTTCCTCATACTTTGCCAGCCTCCGGGTCTTTAGGGAAGCTTGCCAAGAGTTCCCAACTGGGAAGGACAGTTTGAGCTCATCATAGAGAATGAGCTGGTACCACAGTTGTGGTGACTCACCAACCTGGTTGCCCACTTTGCGATGGCAAGAACCACGCCATCTAGTTGAAAGACCTGTGTTTTAGCAAAGTGCAATTGGATCACATGGCAAAATCACCTCATCAAAATAGTCTCTGATCTGCCCTTTTACTAGCTGTTTTGAGAACAAGGCAAGAAAGGAAATTATATCCTGAATTATATTTTGTTTCTTAAAAATTAAGATTAATTAACAGATCCTTGCCTTTATGTCCAGTCTGTTCTAAGAATTTAGTGGTGATTACAGAATGGGGAAAATAGGTCACAGCAAAATGAACATTCAAGATTAGGTTAGAACATACCTCTGAAATTTGAAGTGACTCAGTATTCATTTTTGGAGTGTCAGTTACTACATTTCTATAATTCATCATTTCTTTTTCTTGGCTTAGAGTCAAGATAAGAAATAATATTTAGGCCAAAGACATTGTTTTGTTATATAGCCACTGCTTTTTAAAATGCAAATCCACTCTCCCGCTCACCCTTGCTTCATTTGTGCACGCTCATGCTCACACACACACACACACACACACACACCCCCAGCACCCAGATGCTGGAGAAAGCCCTTTCAAGGCATCTAGGACCTCAGTCATGTACAAGGTAGATGGGAAAATTAAGGGAGGGCCAGAGCAGCAGCAACACTAAGAGTCATTGGTTTTGCTTTACAAAAAATCATTGTATAGTACACAGGTATTTTTAAAAGCAAGTATTATTATGATCGAAGAGTATTATCCAAGTTATTACAATTCTCGTCTCATTTCAAGTCACATAGAGGAGCCATTCTAAAGTATTTTGTATTACAGTCTGTTACCAAAAAGCAACTAGTAAAGTCTTAAAATGTGTATAGGTTTACCCCATGGGGAATTAAATTTTAATTTATAAGTCTTTCTATTGTTGTGGAGCTTTAGGACAAGTTAGCATTTGATATTAACGTGGACGAATATGCTATGGCTTTTTTAGCTTTAATGTGCATGGCTCTAAAATAAAGTACACATTGCATTTTTTCCTCCCTGTATTCTTTTGTTATAGTAAATTATTTTTGCGATGTTGTTTTTCATGTACACAAGTCACTTGGTAAAAGATAGAATATATAATAATAATAATAGCCCCTTGCTTTTCTTCTAATTTTACTATTTCAAGTTAAGCAAAAATGGACACTTTTCTTTCAGGAAAAAAATATATTGAGTTTATTTTTGAGGCAAAAATGATTATTTAGTTACAGTATTTTTTTCCCTAATAGATTAGCATTTATGATGGGTCTTATTTCAAAGCTGATTATTCTCAAAGAAAAGCGGAGAGTTATTAGATATTCCAAGTAAATTACGTTGTTTAAAAAGTATTTTAATACATTATTCAAATTGTCAGCTATTGGAAAGGAAAAAAAAAAAAGGCAGTATCTATTCCAAATGTGAATTTTGCAGCTTGAAAGACCTTAGGAATTCCAATTTCTTAAGGACAGCAGTAGAAATTAATATCAAAGGCATACACAATTTAGAACTCCCTCGATTTTTTTTTTAAACTTTAACTGTGAGAGGCATCTCTGCAAGGTAGGTTTTAACATATTTTTTCCTAATTTTTTTTCCTCCTTTCAGTAAGAAGGATAAGCTTTTAGAGTACCCAGTCACCGTGGTAACTGCCAAAAAAATTCTCCTGAAGTTTGAAGAGGTCAGCTAGCAGGGTCAACCACTCTGGCCTCTCTCGGAGCTCCGTCTAGCATGCCCCAGCCTGTAGTTGGAGTGTCAGGCCAGATCTGACCCTGGGAGGTGGACTATTCCGGCTCTGATATAAATTTTTTGAGTCAGTTCATGGCCTGGACTCTCCAGGTGGCCTCCAAAATCTATTTTGACCCCCTGACCCTGTCTCACGGAAGCATAGCATCCACGCTAAGTAAGGATTTAGCCAGGAATGACAGCTTTCTGCTGAGTGTTATTGGGGACAGTGTAAACAGTTTGGAAAGCAAGTAAGGAGGTGTGAGTGCTAGAAATCGTTAAAAGCACATTAAAAAGCAACTTAAGAAATCTTTCTTTGTAAAGAAAAATTTAAAATAGATATTTGTTACATAATTTTTATGTGATTTGTAGGATTTTCTTAATCTAAGGAAAGTTTTGAATATAAACCCTCAAACCAGACATCTTTCTCCTTTTATATACTTTGTTACAAATATGCAAATAAGATAGCCTGACTTGCAATGAAATAGGCACAGCAGAGATGTAACATATACAGAAAGAGAAGCTAGTTATTAAAATACATTAATAGAGAGTTTCTCGGATTTTAAATACTAAATTACGTGTGTGTGTGTGTCTTGATATGTTTAAAATGGGAAAATTAGGAACCTTAGAATGAAGACACACCTGCACCGCAGGCCAAGTACCTTGTCACTTTGTAAAACAAAGAGCCAATATACCTATTTGGATCCAAATGAGATTAAAAATTATAAATATGGAAGTTTAGCTCTTAAAGCACAAAAGGGGAAAAACCAATAAATTCATAGTGTCTCTGAATTAACTCTGTATTTTCAACAGTTTAAGATACCAAAAGCTAGAAAAAAAAAATAATGTATATAAATCATCAGTGATTCTTTCTTTTTCCTCCTTTTTTTTTTTTTTTTTTCCAGGATGCCACCCTGAAAGTTTTATTTTCTCCAGGAAAGTAGAGTTCTCTTTGAGAGTTCTAGCCTGTGAACTCAGTATGTAAATGTGGTCATCAAGCAAGACGGAGCTGCCAAGAGGGAAGATTTTGAACGTTTCTCTTTCCTAAAACCCTTCCCAGCATTCCTTCTTCTGGGGGTGCTTTACTTGAAGTTTCCCTCTTTCCCCAACACTGTTGAAAATAGCTCCCAAGCAACACTGCAGTAGCTAAACCAATTATACTGTGAAGTTGTTGAGCTGGCATTTCATCTGAATCCTTTGTAAAAACTAGATTTTAAGTAGGGGTGAGTGTCCTTTTGGGAGAGGGGACAAGGGGGAGGGGAAGAAGAGGGGGAGGGGATGAGCAATTTATACACATAGATACTCTTTGTGTTTGAAGGCCTCTGTGTCTTGGCTTCTCACTATGTTAAACCCCTATTATAAAACTTATCTTCACAAAGCCTATTATAGTATTCTGAGAACAAATTGGACCATGAATAACTTAGTTGGAAGTGTAGATTATTTTCTACTCAGGAAAAGTTAGAGATGACAACAGCTTAACTAAAAGAATAGTGATTAATTTTAAATAGATGGATTTCAAAGTTTCACTCTCGATAAAGAGTACCTTTGATATTTCCCCTCTTCAGACTCATGTTTCCACTTTCTTTGTATTAAGAATTGTCCTAGTGATTACATTGTCCACCTAATACAGCATGACTCTGACTGTAGATCTTTTCTTACAGGTTGCTCATCTGTCAGAGAGGTGAGCAGAAAGACACTCCACTTCCTATTGATGAAATATATGGTTCCAAAGTGGGACCTGTGCTTAGATATCAGACTCTCTGTTAGAAATACTATCTGGCATAAATCAAAATTTCTCAATTAGATAAAATTATTATTTAAAAACATCTTAAATTTGTTTAATGCCCTACAGCTTACAGAACACTTCTCAATTCATAATTTTATTTGATCCTTAGAAGACTGTTATGATATAAACACATAACACTAATCTCATTTTACCAAGGAGGAAGCTGAGTCACTTGTACACTGTGATCCAGCTGATAAATGGAAGAACTGGGATACCCACTCAGATTTTATAGCTTCTGTTTTAAGTGATTAACCTGTAGCAATAGGCATTTAAATTCCTTTTGTGTTCTACATCCCTGAAAATCAAGATTTTGTATGAAGGAGCAAAGTTTTTATATTTCACAGATACAGAAGTTAAAGGACCTGATCGAAAAAAAATTCTATTCACTTAAAAATACATGTCATGATTTAGTGTTTTCCCTCGTGTGTGCACGCACATGCATATGTGTGCGTATCAATAGTCTTTCAGAGGAGACAGTCTTAATTTCTAAAAGCCAAACATGGGCAACCCTATATAAACTAATAACTGCCTGGAATTTTTTAAAATGTCCTTGAAAACCATAAATTGTTTCAAAATAGCATGTAACAACAAATAAGCCTTTAGAAACACGTTCTGCCTATGAAGTACTGGATAGCATGGCATTGATCAAGTTCTAGAGTGTTGTAAGTGAGGTTCACTTCTTTTTCAGTTTCATTGAGATAAAATCAACAAAACTGGAAGATATTTAAAGCATATATCCTGATGATTTGATAAACATAAACATTGTGAAAGTATTCCCCCTATCTGCTTAATTAACATATCTATCACCTCACGTTTGTCTTTTTTTTTTTTTTTTTTGGTAAGAACATTTAAGTTTTTTTCTCTCTTTAAAAAAAAGAAAAAAAAGATTTATTTATTATTTGTCAGAGCGAGAGAGAGCACAACAGGGGGAGCGGCAGGCAGAAGGAGAAGCAGGCTCCCCGCTAGGCTCCCCGCTGAGCAGGGAGCCGGATGCGGGGCTCGATCCCAGGACTCTGGGATCATGACCTGAGCCGAAGGCAGATGCTTAACCCTAACTGACTGAGCCACCCAGGCGTCCCTAAGTTTTATTCTCTTAGCAAATTTCAATTATTCATTACTGTGTTATCAATTACAGTCGCCACGTTAACCATTAGATCCTCAGACAGTATTCATCTGGTAGCTGAAAGTTTCTACCCTTTTACCAACCTCTTCCTAATTCCCTTACTCCCCAGCCTCGGCCCTTCTAGTTTTTATAGACTGGTATCTTTTAACATCTTAGCAAGTTGGATAAACAAAGTTGTATAGGACTACTTTTGTTTCTCTTTGGTTTTTACTTTCCGTGTTAAAAAAAAAAGTTTGCAAAATAGAAATAATAAAGAAAATGTTTAGTTAACTTGCTATTGATATAATCTATCTGAACAAACAGAAATCAAGAAATACAAAAGGATACTGCCATGTGATTCTTCTTAAGGAGGTTTTTAATTACATTGTTTTAATTATGTAATGAAGGCAGTGTGGATGTTAATATGGAAATTATTTGTTTATTTCTTAAATTGTATGCACTTAAATTAGTCATTTTATACATACTTAAATTAAGGTTTTTGTCCTTAAATTATGTGGGCAGCCAGACAAATCCAGTTAGGCTTTTTGGGATTAGATAAAATTAAAAAGTATCCAGAAAAGGAAAAGCAACTGTTCTAGCTGGATGTTGCATTTGTCAGTTTGTATCAATAATGACATATATGATAACCTTTCTTGTACTAAGGTTTGTCAATTAAAACGTGACATTAGACCAAAGATTATTCATTTTGACTTGGAGGTAGATGCTCAAGCCTCCAAATTCAAGCTTTGATTATCTTCTCTACTAATTCTCAAATTAAGAAATGACAAAATAAGAACTCTCATGTTAGCACTAATATGTTTGTTTAGATGCCTTTTGCAATTTTTTTCTTATTATATTACCAATTTCATTTAGTTTGCTCATGTGTGTCTTTAACATCTGTCATTGTCCAAAACAGGTTTCCTTCCTCCTACCTCTCCTCCCTTCCTCCCTCCTTTCCTTCTTGTCTTCTTTTCTCTTTCCTCCCTCTTTCCCTTTTTTCTTTCCTCCCCCTCCTTGTGTTACTCCTTGGTTTTTAGGTAATTTTGTTTTAAAATGTAGAGCAGCTTGGGCCTTAAGGGGCTTATCTAATGCAATCTGATGCCAAACTGATATGCTGCACAAGAAAACATTTACTTCAGTTAAACTTATAACAAGTCAGAGAACCCTGAAGTATAATATCAATAGTTCTCTGACAACCAAAATTCAATCCTGAGGGATCAACTTTTAATGTTATAGATTCTGGCAGTTTTCCTCTTGTGCTGTCTTGATATAGTCTTTCTAAGTCATTTAAGCTATCAGGTAGTTTTCAGGTAAATTTCTCATGTTGCAAAAGAAGATGAAGGAGGAGGAGAATTATTTTAGGAATCTGAAAAGAAATTTTGTCATATTTATATGTAAGTACATAGAAGCACCATGGAAAACATTGAAAAGCATAAATAGGGGCGCCTGGGTGGCTCAGCCATTGGGTGTCTGCCTTCGGCTCAGGTCATGATCCCAGGGTCCTGGGATCAAGCCCCGCATCAGGCTCCCTGCTCAGAGGGAAGCCTGCTTCTTCCCCTCCGACTCCCCCTGCTTCCTGCTTGTGTTCCTGCTCTCGCTGTCTCTCTCTCTGTCAAATAAATAAATAAAATAAAATAAAAAAAAGAAAAGCATAAATAAAGATCAGAGATTCCTCATTTTTCTTTTAAGTCATCCCTGTCCAATATACTGTGGTAGCAAAGGTGTGTTTCCTTCCTCCTTCCCTCCTCCCTCCTTCCCTCCTTTCTTTCTTCCTTTCTTTCTTTCTTTCTTCTTTCTTTCTTTCTTTCTTTCTTTCTTTCTTTCTTTCTTTCTTTTTCTTTCTTCTTTCTTTCTTTCTTTCTTCTTTCTTTCTTTCTTTCTCTCTCTCTCTTTCTTTCTTTCCTTCCTTCCTTCCTTCCTTCTTCTCTCTCTCTCCCCCTGTCTCCCCCACCCCTGAAGTTGTTATCAGCCTGGACAGATTCATATAATTTTGGCAAAATAAGATGTTACTTTAAATGGTACAAGAATTATTTCTAGTGACATTTTTAAGTAAGTCAACCAGGCATAAAAAGTTTCTATATTCTTAGGGAAGCAAAAGTATATAACTGTGTAGTAGAAAAATCACAATGCATAGTGAAAAATTCAGTCAACTGTTTGAGGATTAATTTCTATAATATCAGATTTGTCCCCCTCTCTCAGTATTGTAAATATATCTCACTTATTTGAGAGCTGATGGATACAATTCATTATTATGAGTAAAGCATGTGACTCTTGATCTTGGGGTTTTACGTTAGAGCCCCACGTTGGGTATAGGGGATACTTAAAAATAAACTTTTTATTTATTTTTTTTAAGATTTTATTTATTTATTTGACAGAGAGAGAGAGCAAGAGAGGGAACCCAAGAAGGGGGAGAGGGAGAGGGAGAAACAGGCTTCCCACCAAGCAGGGAGCCTGATGCAGGGCTCAATCCCAGGACTCTGGGTTCATGACCTGAGCCAAAGGCAGATGCTTAACGACTGAGCTACCCAGTTACCCCTAAAAATAAACTTTTCAAAAAAAGATTTACCTATTTATTTTAGAGAGAGAGAGAGCACTGGAGCAGGGGGAGGGGCAGAGGGAGAAAGAATCCTCAAGCAGACTCCCCACTGAACATGGATCCCAGAACCCTGAGATCATGACCTGAGCCAAAATCAAGACTTGGCCACCCAACTGACTGAGCCACCCGAGTGCCTCAAAAATAAACTCTTAAAAAAATAAGAAAAAAGTAGGGATTGGAACCAGAAAGTACAAAAAATCTCAAGATTTGGGCCCAGCTATCTTTGAAAGAGAAATTGGCATGTGCACAAATGTCTTTTCAGGATAAGCTATGGTAAAGGTATGAACAAACAGCTATGAAAATACAGAGTAGCCTAGAGAAGCTTGTTGGAGAAAATGGGGATTGAAGAATAGGTAGGGCTATGGTAGAAAGACATGGGGCCGGGCCATATTCCAGGTGGAGGGGAAAGGTAGAGGAGCAAGATTGTACCAGGGTACCATAGAAAATTATTTAATGGATTTAAGATAAAGTTTCTAGAATAACATAAAATGAGGCTGAATATTATCTATTTTAATAGGTTGATTTATAGGTTTATTCACCTAGGAAACAAAGTCCTCATAAGTGCCATGACAACATTTTACCAGTTATAAAACCATTTCTTTTAAAGAGAGTTAAAATTCAGTGAAAAAGAATAAGTATGAGAAATCTAGTGCTTCTCACACC